GAACACAAAAGAAAGGAGGAGTCATGATCCTAATTTCAGACAAAATACCATTTAAGCTATCAAAAATTTAAAAAGATACAGAGGGCCACTACTTAATGATAAAAGGTTCACTCCACCAACAAGAAATATCTCTTAAATATATATGCACCCAACATAGGTGCACCAACTTTCATAAAGCAACTTCTAGGAAAACTAAAGAAAGATATCGACTCTAACACCATCATAACTGGGGACTTTAATACCCCACTCACAACCCTAGACAGATCATCAGGACAAAAATCACCAATGAGATCCGGAACCTCAATGTGACTCTTGACCAAATGGACTTAATTGATACCTACAGAACACTCCATCCAAAGATCACAGAATACACATTCTACTCATCACCGCATGGAACGTATTCTAAGATTGACCACATACTTGGCCATAAAACAAGCATAAACAAATTTAAAAAGACCAAAATTTTACCATGCACCTTCTCGGACGACAGTGGAATAAAAATAAACATTAACACCAACAAGGTCCCCCCAAAACCCACAAAGACATGGACACTAAACAGCAGGGTGCTAAACAGCTCCTGGATCAATGATGAAATCAAAACAGAGATCAAAATTTACCTGGAAACAAATGAAAATGAAGAAACATCTTACCAAAATCTCTGGGACGCCATGAAAGCTGTAGTAAGAGGGGAATTTATATCCCTACAAACGCACATGAAGAAAATGGAAGGATCACAAATTAACAGCCTAACAAGCCACCTAAGGAAGCTGGAAAAGCAAGACCACAAAAACCCTAATTTCAGCAGAAGAATCCAGATCCCCTTTATTTATTTATTTATTTTATTTTTTTTTTTTTGAGCCGGAATTACAGGCACGCGCTACCACGCCCGGCTGATTTTTTAATTTATTGTAGAGGTGAGGTCTCGCTGCCCAGGTGGGTCTCGAACCCGCGGGCTCAGGCAATCCACTCACCTCAGCCTCCCAAAGGCGTGGGATTACAGGCTGAGCCACCGAGCCCGGCTGCCCTTTATTTTTAAAGGACATCTTTCTTGGATATAGGGTTCTGGGACTGACCATTATTTTCTTCATACATGAAGAATGTTGTATCACTTCCTTCTGGTCTCCATTATTTCTAATGAGTTGTTTTTCTCTATAAATAAAGTATTATTTCTTTAGTACTGTTTTTAAGATTTTTCCTTTGTCTTTAATTTTTAGAACCTTGTATTGTGTCATGGTGTGGGTTTCTTTAGGTTTATCTTGCTTGGTATTCACTCATCTTTTTGAATCAATAAGTTATCTATTACTAAATAAGGTAAGTATTCATTCATTATTTCTTGGGGGAAATTTTTCAGCTCAGGACATTTTTTTCCTTCTCTTTCCTGTACTGTAGTGATATGAATGTGCAAATATTATATATATTGTTATAGTCCCATAGGACCCAAAGTCTCTCTTGATTTTTTTTTTTTTTTGGTCTGCTTTCTCTGTCATTCAGACTTGGTAATTTATTTTTTTGCTTTCTCATTATTGTAAATTGGCACATAATTGTACATATTTATGGAGCACAGTGTGATATATTGATACATGTATATAGTATGTAATGATCACATTAGGGTAATTAACATATCTATCACCTTAAACATTTATCTTCTTTGTGTGTGTGTTGGGAACATGCAAAATACACGCTTCAAGCTGTTTGAAAGTATACAATAAATTGTTAATTATAGTCATCCTATAGTGCTATAGAACACTAAAACTTATTCCTTCTGTCTAGTTGTACTTTTGTATTCGTTAACTAATCTTTGACTCTCCTCCCTTCCCCCTCCCCTTCTCTACCTGCAGTTTTTCTTCCAGCATTTTGACTATAACACCCCATTCTCTCTTGGCCCATAAGTTTTAGAGAAATCTCTACTAGTCTAATGGGAATTCCCTCATATGTAGCCTGATGCTTTTATTTTGCTGTTTTTAGAATTCTCTCTTTGTGTTTGACTTTTGACAGTTTGACTATAATGTGCCTTGGAAAAGATGTTTTCAGGTTGTATCTATTTGGGGACCTTTAAGCTTCCTGGATCTGGATATCCATATGTCTCCCCAGTCTTGGGAAATTTTCAACTATTAATTAATAAAGTAGGGTTTTTATATCTGTTCCTTTCTCTTTCTTCTTCTCTTATTCCCATTATATGACATTTGTGCTTAATAGTGTCCCATAAGTCTTGTAGGTTTTCTTTATGCTTTTTCATTCTTTCTTTCTTTCTTTTCTTTTCTTTTTTTTTTTCTTTCCTCTTTTGACTGGGCAGTTTCAGTAGTATACTGCTTTGGGTATCATGTAAATACCTTAAAACAGTGTTTTCCCACCTATTACTCATATTTATCTCAAATTATTTGATTATTCCTGTATCTGAATCATCTCTACACCTGGCTCTGTTAATTATCGCTTGACAGCAGACCTTTTGTTTCTTTTGTCCTTTCGTTGTCATTTTGATTCAATGTTGGACATCGTATGGAGGACATTAGAGCAGTTCAACACTTTTTTGGTAATGGGCCACATAGAACATACTTTGAGCTTTCAGGACTATATATGGACCCTATTGCATCTTATTCTGCTTTTTTTTCTTTAAAAAAATAACCCTTTAAAAATGTAGAAATCAGTCTTAGTCTGTAGCCTGTACAGAAACAGGTCATGGACTGCATTTGGCTTCTGGGCCGTAATGTATTTATCCTGCAGAGGAGAATGCTGTAGGTAGTGTTTGTACTTGGGAATGATCACACTTCTTGTTCTGCTAGGCTGTCATTGTGGGAGTTTGACTAGGTTTGGGTTCTGTTGTTGCTGTGGTTATCTTTGTTAGGGTAAGGGTGGATGGGTGTAGAGGGGCAAGAGGTGCAGCACTGCCAGAGCCGGCAAGCTGGAGGTGTGCGCTGGCAACCCAGAGATCTAAGTAATGCAAAGAATTTCAACACACAAAGAGGTAAGAGAAGAAAATATTTCTTTAAGATAAGTTGACTCCCCACAGACAGGGAGCAGGCCTATACTCTAGGTGAGTGTGGCCCCATAGCCCCCCTCCCAAGTCCTGGCTTAAATCCTTTCCCCTGGAGATGTTGCAATCAGGTAGACGTGACTGGCATGACTTTCTTATTGACCACCTGCGAATGTCTTGGAGATCCTCTGACACAGAGACCCACTAATGTCCACCTACATTATCAATAGCCCCTAGAGAAGGGCGTGACAAGGATTCTAATGCTCCTGCACCTTCCCAAACAATATTCCTTAGAGCTAATGGAGGGTGTACCTCCCCTTATCTCCTAGGCATTCCCAGTGGGTAGCTTTGGGAGATCCTTGACTTCCCTGTAGATAGCGCCCAATTTACTGGAAGATTGAATCCCCTCCTGCTCCCCATCTGAGCATCCATAACTTTTGTAATTGCAAGTTTCATGACTTTTACAATCCTTGCCCAATGCATGATGTCTTAGGCCTTGTAAATTCCCTTTACTCTAGGCAAGCTTGACTGCTGCTATGAGATACCTCTGGCATCATGAAGCCTATGTTTCTGAAAGGACAAAGTTGGCAAAGTTAATTTTACCTAAAGTATGCATTTCTCCAAAACATAGCTTCTACTTTCTCATCATTGTATTAAGGTTTGGGAACAAGATGAAAAATGGCTTTCAGCTCTCAATCTGTTCTTTCAATCTTCTGTCCCACTGAGGGCTGAGCTGACAAAGTGTCTTTACCCTTGGCTTCTGGCCTTCCTTCTGGGTCTGTACTTTAGCTGCCTTGTAAATTTGGCAGGTCTGTACAACAGAAAGTTTTCTGCCTATCCCCCAAAGTAGGAGAATTCTAACGGTCTGGACTTAGGATGGGTTCCTGGGCCCTCATCCAGAGGTAGAGAGGATTACCTTTTATCCTTTCCTGGCACAGCAGTCTTTCCTCTTGTTCTGTAGGGAAGTAGCCTCTGGTTGGGGCTTGGTGTTAGGCATCTCCCACTAAGGGATTGTCTAGTCCACTCCTTTAGTCCACTTACTCCATAAAAGGCTTTTTTGAGTAAATGTGCCAGGAAAGAGGTGCTGGCTTTGACCCTGGTTCCAATTACAGAACCCAATCAGGAAGTGAATTAATGGCATGTCAAAGACTCTAAATATAAATGGTAAGGAGAGTTGGCTCCACTCTGGTTGAGGATTATAACTTTGGGTGGAACTGTTGTTTTGGTCTAGCTATGTTTTAGTGGTTGCTACAGTATATGCAGGGCTACCAAGTTCTATAACTCCTGAGGGGTATTTACCTGGGAAGAAAACAATGTGTTTAGCCTGTGACATTGTGTAACTCAATGGCCCTGATAGATGCTCTGTCTTTATGTGGTCTCTGAGGAATTTACTGTAGCTGTAATGAAAAAGAAGTATAATATCTTTTAAAACAATCTTCTAAGTGGGCAGAATTATAGCAAACATGGAATGCCCTTGTATTTCTAGCTTAGCATTTTAAAATTATGTGATTGTAATATTTGAAGATGATGCTTATTAAGTAGACAATATGTTGAGTTTTGTCATGCTACTTTCATGAGCTTAGCTTTTACATCAAAAGTGACTTTGGCCGGGCTTGGTGGCGCAACCTGCAATCCCAGCACTTTGGGAGGCCGAGGTGAGTGGATTGCCTGAGCCCGCGAGTTCGAGACCAACCCGGGCAACTTTGCGAGACCTCGTCTTTACAATAACTAGAAAATTAGCCAGGAATGGTAGCACGCTCCTGTAGTTCCAGCTACTTGGAAGGCTAAGACAGAAGGGATAGCTGGAGCCCAGTGGGTCGACACTGGAGTGGCCATGAGTGTGCCACTGCACTCCAGCCTGGCTGACAGTGAGACTCCAACTTAAAAAAAAAAAAAAATTACTCTGCTTCTGGGTTAGCCAGTAGTTTTCTAAACTGTCCAATTCATCATTCAGAAAGGACAAGAACCCCTGAGGGTAGATTCCTGTAGAGGGTTTTCCTCTAACCAGAAGTGTTTTCCTCTCTTCCAGATCCAGACGCAGAGGTATGTCTCCATGTACTGCGGCTTGTGCAGTCTGTGGTTCTGGAGCCGGAAGTCTTCTCCAAGTCGGCTTCTGAGTTCCGAAGCTCCCTGCCCCTGCAGCGGATCCTGGCGATGTCCAAGAGCCGCAACCCTCACCTGCAGACTGTGGCTCAGGAGCTCCTGGAAGATCTCCGTGCTCTGGAGCATGACGTGTAGGTGCCCTTAGTGAAAATGCCAGTGTCCCTTCCCCTCCCCAGTTTCCTCATTTTGTATTCCAAAACCATCACCATGTGCTATATGTTAGAGATAGCAAAATGTGACTGACTAGAGATGGATGTGAATTGCTGTGTCCCACGTAACTTCCTCCTGAAGCTGAAAGGACTTTTGAATGGTTGGTTAATCTTGCCAAAGAGGAGACCTTTAAAAAATCCATCCTTCTGGAAAGGTCCATGTCTGTGCTACCTGGAAGAGAGCTTTCTTAGAGCAGCTCCTTGCTACTCAGCAGACCATCCCTGACCTGTAGTTTTATCTATAAAAATTGGAGATTAAATAACCATCTACCCCATCAGTCAGCATTTTCCTGAGATGCACTTTGACAAACAGCTCATTCTCTGGTAATTGTAATTAATTCCCCCAAAATGCAAGTTTACTTTTATAACCTTTCAGTGAACCTGCTACTTCAAATGACATTGGACACTTAAGTTCTGTATTTTCTGTGCCTATTTTATTTTTGAATAAAGAAAGTCAGAAGAGTTGTGTTACCACTATTGCTTTCTGAAATATAAAGTTGACACCATGAAGTTGGTCTCCTTTGTATATTACAGTGCATACACTTGGTTGGTGGAAAACTCTCCTTAGATTTTTCTGGGCCCTTTGGCTATCAACGTAAAAATCCAATTTTTCTTATGACAAATACTATAAAAACAATCTCATAGATTAGAACACATTCAGCTAGTTGAGATTCTTTAACAGGGAAGAAAAAGGGAGCTCTATTTCCCTTTTTGTACATGGGTCAGCATGTATATCTGTCTTGTCTGCTTGCTGGTCATGCTATCCAGCTGTGTTCTAGGCCACTGGCAGAGAACAAAGGAAAATAGGCTTCATTTCTCACAGACACCATGATGTATGAGAGTGAGAGTTGCCATTTAAATCACCCCTTTAAAGTTACATACATTAGAGGACATGTTCCTTCCTTTTTTTGGAAGGAAGAACTGCATCCTTCACTGTGATGCTGTAGGGCCACCGGGTTCTGGGCATTGGTAAGAGCTAAACAAATGCAGGAGTACCCTCACAGTGGTAGTCTGATACACATGTATAAGCTGTTTGGTTGTGTGTGGCATTTTAGAGTAACTTCATTTTTCTTTTAAGTAGATTTTTATAGTCAATGTGCAACTTATGGCTGAGGCTGAGTGAAGAAGTGTAGAGGAAGGCACGGTTGCTTGGATTTCACGAGCCAACATATTGTGGAATACTCGCTCATCAGAGCCAGAGGAATGTTGTAAAAGGCAATTTAAAATTCATGGAGGCAGAAATCAGTCCATCTGTGCTGTGTGGTTCTGTAGGCCCTGATTATTGGTGAATAAAATTGGGGATATTGTGTTTTTATACTTACTCTAGCATGATACTATCTTCTTTTTGATTGTTATTTGTTTAATAAGGTAATTGGGGGATAAATTAGTATAATTAGTTTGTGCTGCCTCTAGAACTAAAGGGTTTTATTCTGCCAAAAATGAGTTCAGCAGTGTATAGAGAGGAGTGAACTGGGCCAGACCCCTAAATGTTGTATAGTTTAGCAACTGGTAAATGATTAAGTAGGACTGTTTTCTTCTCCTAGTTTTTAGGTGCTAAGGAGAGCAAGAGTCCTTAAGGAAAACTCTTGGGAAGAAACATATGTATAATACATACATATTTTGAATTTATGTCACAGGAAAGTTACCTAAGGCCAATTTTAAGGAGTGACTCTGATATTTCTGCTCTTCATATGAAGGTCAATAGGAAAACAGTTTTGTTTTTTGTTTTTTTAACTTTTCTACATCTAGTGATTTAAAGAAAACCCACTCCGTTTTTTTAAAAAGGTATACATAAAATCATGTACTTTGCATGTTTGAGGTCTCTTGTGAATTTTAAAATCAAAGACAAAAGCAGTAAAATAGTGCATATATTTTGAAATTTATTTTTTACATAATTCCTTTCATATTTATGAAGTTTTTATATTATGAACTATATTTCTCTTTGGTACTGTCAGTTTGTATGCAAAGATGTGAAACCTGAGGCTAGTAGTCAGACTTCTTCCTCCTCCTCCTTTGTCCCTCCTCCCCAGTGGCTCCTGGCAGGCCTGTTGCCGTCTGGTTGCTGGTTAACCATCTAATCTGCTTTCTCTCAAGTCTGAAAAGAGCAAATCCTCATTAAGATGCAGAGCAATGCACAGTTTTCATGGATAGTTTTGGAGATCCTTATTTCCTCATGGCATGACTTGGAATAATCCTAATGTCATAGAGTTCTTCTAGCTCCACATATTTATATAGCCCCATGTCTTTTATGTATTCCAGAGAATCTTAAAGTTAATTAGAGTACCAAGCACAAGATCAGAAGTCTGGGGCCTGAAGAAAATCAGACCAAGGCTTGAAGTCAGCTGCTGGACCCACCATTAGCTATGTTTCTATGTTGTTAATATAAATAAAAAAGACTGATAAATACTTTTGCAGACTTATTGGTTTTCTGAAATGTCCTGAAGTTGAAGTTTGCTCTGTTTTCGTCTATGGTGTAGATGCTTAGAATGTCTCAGAAGGGCTTCTCCAACCAGTGCAGAATCTTGGATATAGACCCTAATATAGTATAGGGCACAGTACACGATACAGTATCCTATAGGGCACTGAAAGTCTTTGGATGCTTTTTGAGTCTAGGCTCGGGTGAAAGGGCAAGAGACAACTGGTACACCTCTGTCTTCATAAAGTCAATTCAAGACTTGCAGCTGTCCCTCTGTTCTAAGGATGTGCATATTTAAGTTTATCTCCAGATATAGAAAAATAAATTGGAGTCCGTTGAATATGCTAGTTAGTGCATACTACAAAATGAAAACTTTTGTTATTGTCCTTTTTAATTTGTAATTTGTATTTTTTTTTTTTTTTGAGTGGGAGTCTCACTCTGTCAACCAGGCTGGAGTGCAGTGGCATGCTTATAGCCACCCATAGCCTCAACCTGCTGGGCTCAGGTGATCCTTCCACCTCAGACTTCCAAATAGCTGGAACCACGCCCAGCTAATTTTTTGATTTATTGTACAGATGAGGTCTCACCAAATTGCCCAGGTTGGTCTTGAACCCTCAGACTCAGGCAATCCTCTTGCGTCCGCCTCCCAAAGTGCTGAGGTTATAGGTGTAAGCCACCTTGCCTGGCAATTTGTAATTTTTAAAGTCTTAAAAAATTGTTAAATATACCTAACATAAAATTTACTATTTTAAGTGAGGAATTCAGTGGCGTTAAATACATTTACAGTGTTGTATAACCATCACCGTTATCCATTTCCAGACATTTTCTTCATCCCAAACAGAAACTCTGTACTCATTACATAACTCCCCATTATCCAAACTCTTCTCCTTCCAGCCCCCGATAGCCTCTATCTTACTTCTGTCTCTATGAATTTTACTACATCTAGGCATCTCATATATGTAGAGTCATACAATATTTGTTCTTCTAAGTCTGGCTTATTTTATTTAGCATAATGTCCTTGAGGATCATCCTTGTTGTAGCCTGTGTCAGAACTTCATTCCTTTTTATGATTGTATCCATTTTATGTGTATCCCACATTTTGTTTATCCAGTCATCTGTTATTGGACACTTAGGCTGTTTCCACCTTTTGGCTATTGTGAATAGTGCTGCTATGAACATTGGGATACAAGTATCTGTTTGAGTCTCTGCTTTCAGTTCTTTTGGGCATATACCTAGAGTGAAATTGTTGAATCGTATGGTAATTCTGTATTTAACTATTGAGTAACTGCCAAACTGTTTTCCACATCAGCTTCATCATTTTACACTCCCACCAGCAGCAGTGCTCAAGGGCTCCAATTTCTCCACATCCTTGTCAACACAACAACAGTTTTCTGTTTTGTTGATAATAGCCATTGATAATGGATATGAAGTGGTATCTCATTGTAGTTTTGATTGGCATTTCCCTAATAATTAATAATGTTGAGCATTTTTTCATGGGCTTGTTGACCATTTGTATATCTTTTTGGAGAAATGTCTATTCAAGATCTTTGCCCATTTTTGAATTGGGCTGTTTGCATTTTGTTGTTGAGTTGCAGTTCTCTATATATTGTGGATATTAATACCTTATCAGATGTATGACTTGCAGATATTAACTCCCATTCCGTGGGTTGTCTTATCATGCTGTTAATAGTGTCCTTTGATGTGCAAGAGTTTTAAAAATTTTGATCAAGTCCAGTTTATCTATTTTGTTGTTTTTGTTACCTATACTTTTGGTATCCTATTCAAGAAATCAGTATCAAATTCATGATCATGAAGGTTTTCCCTGTGTTTTCTTCCAAGTTTTAGAGTTTTAGCTCTCCAGTTTAGGTCTTTGATCCATTTTGAGTTAATTTTTGTAGATGGCTAAGGTAAGGGATCAACTGTATTCTTTTACATGTCAATATCTAGTTTTTCTACCCCCATTTGTTGAATTTCATAATTATTATTTGAAAATGTTACTCCAAATGTGATTTTCAAAATTCAAAAATTCATGTATACTGTGCTCACCATATTTTTAAATTATTTGGTCTTATATTATAAGGATTTTGCATTCTTCCAATGAAACTCTCTAAGTTGCAGCTTTTCCCATAATAAATGTGCACTTAATGCTCTAGGAACCTACTTAGCAGATAATGACTATCAGTTGGAAAAATAACTCCCACTCAAATAGTCTATTATATTTTTTAATTGAAGTCATAACTTTTCAGAAGAAATGGCTTTATGCAAAATATTATTATTTGAATGTCTGGGAGCAGTCCAAGCAGCAGGGAAAGGTGCAAAGGAGGAAAGTGCCCCCTGGGTGTAACCTGGGTCACCTATGCCCTCACTCTCAGTGGCTTGTGCCAGCAACCATTTTTTCTGTTCGCACCTCATATCTGCTCTCTTCTGGGACTGTAAATCTAGAACAGTGGTTCTAGGCCATTATGGCATCATGGCATAATGGCATTCCCTCTGAGAATCTGAGAAACCTTCTCTACACAAAAATACATGGAAGCAAATGTCTACTGTTTCACATACAATTTTGGTAGTTTATGAGATCTCCCCCAGGGCCATTGGCTCTCCGGTAGGGGTGCCTTTGCCCTGGACTTTAAAAATTTCTTTAATTTATTATTTTCGTTTTTTAGAGGTAGGGTCTTGCTCTGTTGCCCAGTCTGGAGTGCACTGGCACGATCATAACTTACTGCAGCCTCAAACTCCTGGGTTTAAGTGATCCTTCTGCCTCAGTCTCCCGAGTAGCTGGGACAATTGAGGTCTTGCTACATTGTCCAGGCTGGTCTTGAACTCTTCACCTCAGGTGGTCCTCCTACCTCAGCCTCCCAAAGTCCTGGGATTATAGGCATGAGCTACTGCACTTGGCCTACTATGAACTTGAGGATCACGTTTATTGAATTTGTGTGGCCTAGTGTAGTGCCAGGTGCATAAGCATTGAAAGCATTTAAT